AACGGACCCAATCGCTCCTTGATAGGTACTTTACCTCGATTCTCCGATAAGGGACCGAGGCGACCTTTCAAAGGAACCCTGGATGTTGAAGGATCCGTGTTCTTACCTGACTCCGCCGGAGGTGCGGGGGCAAGGGGAACTGGATCTGGATTTGATGAAGGTTGGACAGCAACATCGTCCGCTCTTGTCTTAGGCACCGGCTTTGCTTTTAGCACCCATACCTGTTTGTGTTTTGACAAAAATTTCGGCCCCATGATAACCTTGCATAAAACCCCCCAAATTCTTGTGCCTACACAACCCATCATCAAAAAACCTATCCTCTAACTCATGAGAACATAAAGCTACAATCTTGTCAAAAAAAAAAGAGATCTTGTGAAGGGGACTTACCAAATCAAGAGGCTTTTCTTGAGCTTGAGGATGAAGGAGGAACCCTAGCTTGGGAGGAGAATTTCGACCAAGAGGGAGCACCAAGAAAATCCGAAATTGTGGAATGGGTTTTGAGTTTTGAAAACAATGGTGTATGGAAGAAGGAGGAAGAAGAAGGGGTTTGAAATTTAAGAGGGAATCCTTTTGAATTTTAAAAAGAGGGGGGAAACAAAAGGGGAAACAAACAAAAGAAGAAAAAGACAAAAAGAAAAAGAGAGGGGGGGTGTGGTCGCCAGTTTGTTTTCAGGAAAAGCTGCCTTTATCATTGATTTCATTAAACTTCAGTCGTTACAATGAATTTGAATAACAAAGAAATAAAAATTATAACTTTCTTGAAAATAAACGCAAGATCCTGTTTTGCGGTCTCTTGCTTGCGTGGGTCTTTGGCCTGTGACGGGGACGTCAATATCCGTGGACTACCTGGCACTCAGATCTGTTCCGAAAAATCGGACAGAGCTTCGTTGATCCGCGTGAGATCTAGAAGCCTGAAGCGTCTATCTCGGCTAAAACGAGATATCTGCTCTTCTTAGTGATTACCGGCGAAGGGTAATACTAAGTAAAAGGGGGACGGGTGATGAAGGCTCTGATGAAGACCTCTCTCTTCCTTGGTTGAAGCGCTCGACCACTCTTCACTGCAGCAGGGCTTCGCCAACTTCTCCAAAAATCCAGATCTTCAAAAATGAGGCCCAAGGGGGCTATTTATAGGCAAGGGGGAGCAACTAGGGTGCCTAGACACCCCTGGGATGTTTTGACTTTCCCGAGACACCCCGGGTGTCCCAACTTAGCCTGAGACGCTCCGTTGCGTATGGTTGATTGTTTTCGCCGTAAATTCTTCGTCCGAACTCGGATTTGAGTGATTCAAAGTGCGTTGGAAGCTTGACGAATAATTCGATCCGCTCTGGTGGTTGGATTATCTGTAGAGTGATCGAGACATGAAGGGCATTGTCCTTTTTGTGAACATTGCCGGGTTCCCGATTGGTCCGGGTCTTCATTGTTCCGAAATCCTATCAGCTCACGTAGTTCGTCGATTCACTTCAATCATTCATTGACGTCAATTGGACTCCTGTGGATCGGATAGTGACGTTCATCGTCGCTCTTTAACATTGAACCGTTTGTGGAGACCTATAGGCATTTTTCGACGCCTACACTCCCATGTATCGTTCTTATGAAGAGATTCCATCTCCTCCTGCATAGCCACCTGCCACGAATCAGCCTCCGAACTCTGCTCGGCCTCTCTGAATGTAGTAGGCACTAACTCATCGATACTCTCCACCGGAAGTGCATACGCAACTGTGTCGGCATACCGTGCTGGCATCTGTATGTTTCTCCTCTGTCTCCGAACCGCAATAGAATCCTGAACCTAAGCCGTCAGTTCTTGATCCTGCACATCTGTACTCGTATCCTCTGTGTCACCGTCGTGCTCACCTGGCGTCACCTCAGTCGGCACCTGTATGGATACTGTACCATCTGGACAATGTGGAGCTGTATCGATCTCCACCACCTGCGATATCTCCTCCGTCGGATCGCTCTCCACCTGATGAGAGCTGGGAAGCTTCAAGATAGAAGCCTCATCGAATGTGACGTCCCTACTCAGCACAATCTTCTTATCCACTGGATCCCAAAGCTTGTATCCCTTGACACCACGCTTGAATCCTACAAATATGACCTTCCTAGCTCGAGGTTCCAATTTATCAGTTCTAACATGATAATATATAGGGCACCCAAATACCTTGAGCTGGTCATAGTCATGTGCTGGCTTTCCCGACCACTTCTCCATAGGGGTTTTCCCCTCAATCGCAGATGAAGGCAGCCGATTAATGAGGTGGCTCGCATACGTAAGTGCCTCAGCCCAAAAGATCTTCTCCAAACCACTCTGCGACAATAAGCATCGGATCTTCTCCAGTAAAGACCGATTCAACCTCTCTGCCACCCCATTTTGCTGCAGTGTATGACTAACCGTGAAGTATCTCTCCATGCCCTCGTCTCAACATAGCTGCAAAAAGGGGTCTGAAGTATACTCACCACCGTTGTCGGATCGCAACGTCTTGATCTTTCTCCCAGTCTGTAGTTCCAATCTCTTCTTCCACTCCACAAACAAATCTAGGACTTCACTCTTCTTTGTCATGGTGTACACCCAACAAAGCCTAGAATAGTCATCTACAAAAGTGATGAACCAATATCGACCACCAAGTGATGCAGTCTTGGTGGGACCCCAAACGTCTGTGTGCACGTAATCCAGGATGCCACTCGTCTGATGAATGGCAGTCCCGAACTTCACCTTCGTCTTCTTTCCAAGAACACAGTGCTCACAGAACTCAATCTTCCCACTCTTGGCTCCCTTCAATAGCCCCTGCTTACACAATGCCTGCAGTGACTTTTCACCTGTGTGCCCCAATCTATAGTGCCAAAGTCTGCTCATGTCCGCTTCTGAAATAGCCGAAGCAACCTGGCCAATCTCGGTGCTTCCCTTCAGATAATACAAATTCCGATTGCGGACTCCCCTCATCACCACCAATGATCCCTTAGTAACCTTCGCTACAGCGTTTTCGAAAGTCACCTTGAATCCCTTCGCCTCCAAAGCTCCAACTGAGATAAGATTTTTCTTCAGTTGAGGAACAAATCTCACCTCCTTCAACTCACGGACTACTCCATCGTGCATCCTAATCCGTACGGTACCTATCCCACAAACGCCACAGGATTGATCATTTCCCATGACAACAAAGCCCCCGTCGACTTTCTCAAAAGATGCAAACCAGTCTCGCCTAGGGGTCACATGAAAAGCAGCGCCGGAATCAAACATCCAATCTAATGCATCCACATGGTTCACCTCCGGAGTAATCAGTAGAGAAATGCACGAATCATCGGCATCATCGCCTTTCACAATGTTCACCTCATTGGCCTTCGGGCCATTTTTCTTGCCATTCTCCTTCTCTTTGAGCTTCGGGCAGTCTCTCTTCCAATGTCCCTGCTCCTTGCAGAATGCACATTGGTTCTTTGTTAATTGGTGGCGGCCTCTAGATTTTGACCTCCCTCTGTTACCACATTTCAGATATGGACTTCTGCCTCTCGTCGACAATGCCTCGCCTGAAGTGCTAGCACGGGAAGTCTCCTTGTCCTTCCTCCTCAAATCGTAATTTGTCAAAGCGTTAGTCACTTCACTATAGCTGATAGAAGATCTCCCGTTCAACAAAGTGAGCACGAAGGTATCATACTCCTCATTCGGTAAGGAGCCCAACAAAATAATCGCCTTGTACTCATCCGATATCTTCTCATCAACATTCGCCAAGTCCGACAACAACTTAGTGTAGTTGTTCACATGAGCCGCTAGCGAGGTGCCTCTGGACATCTAAAATCTGAAGAGTCTTCGCAGCAAGTGCAACCTGTTCTCAACACTCTTCATGAGATACTTGTTGTTGAGAATTTCCCACATCTTCATTGTAGACGTCACCCCAATCACATCATATTTCAGTTCCTGTTCCAAACATGACCTGATCACCCCACACGCGTTCCTATTCATCTTATCCCATATCGCCTCTTCATATTTAGGTGGCCTCTCGTGGACCATGATGGTATCTTCCAAATTCTGAGCATTAAGCGCATCCTGTACGTCGCTCATCCACAAACCAAAGTTGATTTTACCGTCATACTTCACCACACTAATTTTAGTGTTCTAAAAACCAACTTGTATTATACTCTCCATCGATTTGCTACTTTCACCTTCTTCTCCCATTGCGAACTAACTCCAAATTGTAGAGAAAGAACAAATTTAATAGAAATTAGGAACCACCCAACTAAACCCTAGATCGGATTCCAAATAGATCTCCTATCCACACAAGGAAAGCGAAATCTCCAACGACAACTCCTAATACTATCTCCACCGAAGCCTAGAACTCCAAGAACCAAGCTTCACACAAAATCTTCCTCCACCAAACTCCAAAAAACCCTAGATCTGAAATCTGGGCTCTGATACCACTTGTTGCGCGCAGCGAAAATTTTGGTAGCACTTCGGCAGCATAACAAGAGAGTCAGGACGCAATAAGAATTCATGTTTCTCAAAGGGAACAAGAATCTGAAGCCTAATATCTCATCAAAGTGGGATATTAGCTCTTCCTCTCGTCAGCTCTAGGACTGCGCGTCGAGGGAACCTAAAAGCTATTACAAATCACACAAATAACAGTACAACCAATTTTTACGTGGTTCGGCAAATTGCCTACGTCCATGGGGGCAAGGAGGGGGGAGATCTACTATTAGAGGGAGAGAATACAACTAGGGTTTACAATCACTCAAAACCTAAACCCTCAAACAAACTCTTAAATCCCTCACACAAATACTCTCCCAAAGGGATGCACAAAACCCTAAAAGGGACTACACAAAATCTCCTTCGCACAAGAAAATACTCAGCCGCCAAAGATCCTTGCACGCGCTCTGTTCTTGCACCCCGCAGCCGCCAATTAAACAAAACTCCTTGCTACTTTTTCACAAAAACCTAGGTGCATTTATATGCACGAATTATGAAATCGGGTGGGCCTTGAAGCCTTGCACGTGGGTGGCCCCCACTATAAATGCGTTCACACATTTGGCATGATCATATGGGATTGTTGTACTTGAAGACTGGGCTGAAGAGATTTTAGTGTCGATGGACCCATCGAAGGATCCTACTAGGAAGAAGGTTCCTACTCCGAAGGCTGTGAGAAGGTTCGGGATTAATCACATGCTCGATGGGAAGAATAAGTTGGTGGAGTATAGGATTCCTCAGAGTATTGATAGGCCGATAATTCCTAAAGTGAATGAACAAGGATATGTTCCTGATACTAGATATGTGCTGCATGATATTGATCAGGAGGCAAAGGAGCAGGCTTTGATGTATCATAGTGAAAGGTTGGCAATTGCTTACGGGCTGATTAGTACACCGGCTAGGGCTCCGTTGAGGATTATTAAGAACCTTCGTGTCTGTGGAGATTGTCACAATGCGATCAAGATTATGTCAAAGATTGTTGGGAGGGAGCTTATTGTGAGAGATAATAAGAGGTTTCATCATTTCAAGGACGGGAAATGCTCATGTGGAGATTACTCATGAAGATTACTCGTGAAGATTTCATCCATAAACAAGCTTAAACACTTGTTAATCTCTTTATAAAACTCACTTTAAACAAAATTCTTAGTAATATGAAAGAGGAAGGCACTGGGGTATTTATACCCACTCAAGACATCAGCCAAAACCACATTGAAAAGACCAAAATACCCCCCAAAACATCAGATAAAAAAATAGCCGTTACAACACAACGGTCAGATCGGCGGGCGACCGTGAAATACTGGCGGTCGACCGCAAAGAACAAAAAGAGGACTGGGGCGGTCGACCGCGAAAGACTCTGGACATGCTACGGTCGACCGCTATGGTCAACCACAAGGCATTAAAAACAATTTTCATTCCTGGACTGCAGGCGGTCGACCGTGGCGGTCGACCGCAAACTTACACACAGAAAATATAGGTTTTGAGCCTGTTTTGTCTATCTTAAAAAATGTTAAAAATATTAGATCATTTCCAAAAATAGTAAAACTTTGGGGAAAATTTCTAAAAGAGAAAATAAACATGTTTGAAAAGGAATTTTTAGAAATGCAATTTTTGTTTGTGAAAACTAACTATTTTTGAAAAGTGTACATAAAACCTGTTTTTCATGAACACAAAAATTGAACTATGACTTATGAAATTGTGTTTGCATATCATGAATACTTTGTATATGTTTTAAGAACTATGAAAAACATATAAACAAGAAACATCAACTATTGTTACGATGTTTTGGCAAAAATCATTTTCATAGAAAGAAAATCAAACTGTGTGTGCATATATGTTGAGCTTTAAACATAATCACACAATATTCGTTAACAAACTTATTTTTATACTTAAGGAAAGTGCACACATGATCTTGAATCTTTAACTCTTGATGTATATAGCTTTTCACCATGTGTAGAATTCCTGAAAGGGAAAACAAACTACAAATACTAGAAAACAAATTAGCTATAAATTGTTTGGTAAATCATCATCAAAACCAAATGGCCAACAATCTCTCCCTTTTTGATGGTGGCAAACAATTTTCAAAATGTAGCATTCATAAGAATAAACCAAAAGCATATATAGATCATTGAGGCATTTATATTAACAAACAACACATAAGCTACTCATAAGCTACATTTAGGTTTTTCTCCCCCATTGACAACATCCAAAAAGGGAAAAGATACATAGCAAAGCTCCCCCCTGCAGACATGCACAGAATTTAAGCAAGTGTATAGTCAATACCCCCCTGTCAATTTGCATACATAACATAACAACAAAAAGGAAGAACATATATGGGAGCTAAACAAAAATACTTATACACAAGATATGTGTATGAGAACTTAGGAGACAAACATAGAACATAAGCACCATCATATGTCATAAAACAAACTTACAAGATACTTAGTTTTAGTTACATAAACACGGCCATCATATGTCATAAAACAAACTTACAAGATACTTAGTTTTAGTTACATAAACACGGAACATCATATATATTTAAAACAACATTCATAAGAGTTATTACAACTCCAAAAAGAAAATATAAACATTTAGTTTTAGTTCTTCAAAACATAAATCCATAAGATCCTGCATCAATCACCACCATCGTCATCAGATTCAGAGCCAGAGCCAGATCCAGATTCTTCTTCAGAACCCTCTTCAGATCCAGTGTCAGAGCCGGAAGTGGGATCCTGAATTCCAAGAGACTGACGCTGAAGACTAAGGAGAGTCCTCACATCCTTCTGAATGCTTGAGACCTGAGTCTCAAGGTGATCCAGACGGTCAAAGACCTCAGAAGCAGAAATGGTAGAAGGTCTAGAACGAGGTCGGGAGGATGATGGTTCTGTAGGAGCAGAAGATAATAAATCTGAAAGTTGCATTCGATAGAGGGCAACCCTATCAAAATACTCCTTGCTGGGATCAACTTTGGTTTCATGAGAAAGGTCAACACCGAAGTGTTAAAGGATAAGAGTTATGAAAGAACCAAAGGGAAGGAATTTAAAATGCTTGCATGCCATATTTTTAAGAAAAACATTCGCCCAATTCACTTTTATCTTGGCGAATATAGCATACACAACATTCACTTTATCTAGAGTGAAATGATCAAAGCTACCGGTTTTTAGAATAAGGTTTTAAGCAACAATTCATGCGATAATTTTGGCAGTGAGATTTAGTGAATTGTTGTTCATGGGATAAGAGCAACTGGGCTTAAACAGAAGATTATTCACATCCTGATCAGTGTGTTTAATGGACATGAGCTCAACGTCACTTGATGGGATCTTTAGGTTTCCCGCAAGCTCGTCAGCAGAAAAAGATATCTGGACATTTTTAACAGAGGTACTGATGGTTTGAAGACCATCAGTAGAAGTGGTGACTGATAAGTTTGCATAAAACAAATAGACAAGAAAGGGGTAATGAGGAACCTTACGTTTCTCGTCTAACAGATTATGAAGACCAACATTAGATAGCATCTCAGAAATATTATAAATAGCTAAATTATCATATTTGATATATCTACCTGATAAGATCTTCAACTTACAAAGATCCCTATGTTTTTTAATTAGGTATTTGTAAAACAAAAAATCCTCATAATTAGTGGCACTAGATGAAGAAGCAAAAACTTGTTTAGATTTCTTTCTAGGAGGCATGATATCAAGATAAGAGCAACAAAAGATTTGAAGAATCAACCCTAAACAAAAACCCTAGAAATGATAGAATGAAACCCTAAGACAGTGAATGAAAAGAAGAGTGATGAGAGGAGAAATTACCCAACTGAAAATAATAAAGGAGAGATCCTCAGGGGAGACCATGGTCGATCGAAGAGGGATTGGTAGCCGACCGTCGGGAAGAAAGAGCAGGAATCGACGAGTTGGGGAAAATGAAATGATGGAATAGGATCGGGTCTCATGTGAGGGATAAAGCAACGGACAAGATTGAATCTGAGGTGAGATCAATGGTGGTATAACTTTCGGGTTTAGAATAGTTAACAAAACAAAAACCAAAACTCGATAAGAAAAAAACTAAAAAATTTCTGTGTGGTCAACCGTGGCGATCAACCGCGACAGTCACAGAGACTGAACTCTGAGGCAGAAACATATACGATCGACCGTGACGGTCGACCGTGAGAAAAGTAATATTTTAATTAAACCTGGATTTTGCGAAATATTTCATTTGGATCTTTAAATAATTTTGTTTTATAAGAGATTATATGTATATATAAAAGCTTTTAGCTAGTAATCCAAGAAAAACATTTTATTTTAAAAAAATCAACATTGAAACTCAAAACCAACTATTCAAAAACAAAACAAAGATATAAAATAGAGATCATTTTGGTACCCAAATCTTTTTGGTACCGATAAAATTCGGGACATGACCCCTATCATGTAAGTCTAAGGCCCTAGGGTTATGAACTCATTTGGGCGTATTTTGTGCACTTATACGGTCAAAACAAAAATCATAAACATGACCCATACGATTGTAATTTGTGCAATGTAGGGGTTTGAATAGTTTGCATTGACCGAAATGTTGTGCACGCGGTTCATTTGCAAAAATAGGTTTTTCTTTATAATTATTTTACAAACGAGAATTTCTTTTCAAATCAAAACAAAACATGGCCAAATGATCAAAACGACCACAATATTCACATTTGTACACATGAGCATGTTTATGATTTACACTATGTGTGTGTACATGTGTATGAGACGAAGAAGCTTGATGGGATGCACAATCATGAATATGCTTGTCAAGCTTTTGTGCATTATGACAAAATTTTGCTATATGGCCTTTAAAACCGCAAATAGAACATTTGTGAATTTTATCATACATGTGTGCTTAGTGAATAGGTTTCTTAGAAGAATTATCATAGTACTTTGCACACAAGTCAATAAGCTTTTCGTTATTTACAATACAAGTATTTAGTGTTGAATCTAAGGTTGATATGCGTTTTTTCATTTGATTCAACTCATCATTGTGCATACAACCATTGCTACTAGAAGTAGGATAAACATGATTATTTATCATAGAGTTTAATTTATTTTTACTAATATCTACTTCTAACATGGCATCACATTTTTCATGAAGCAACCTAGCATTTTCTAATTTCAAAATTTCATTGCGTTCTTTAAGATTTATATTTTCATTAGCAATGAGATCAAACTTAGTGACTAGTGTTTCATGAGAGGACTTTATATTAACATGCTTACTTTTCAATTCAATATAGCTATTGTATAATTTTTCAAATTCAAGCGCAAGCTCATCAAAAGTAATATCATCATCGTTGTCAAGCTCGCGTACCTCACTAGGGCTATCACCGAAGCTTCTGTAGACAGGAATTATCCAACTCTTATCGGATAGCCTCCAAGTCCCCTTGATGTGCTTCTAATAAATTCCATAGCGTATAAGCACTATCAAAAGAATCAAGTTTGTTACTAAATGATGAGTCAAAGGCATTAACTAATAATTCTAACAAAGACTTGTTCATGGCAAATAATCTATGATCATCTTTACACCATTTGGATTTCTCCAAAGTTGGTACACTATAAGCACACTCTATAATTTCCCATAAATCAAAGTATTTAGATTGAACAAAAAGTTTAAATCTAATACACCATTGAACATAGGGAAAAATATCTAAACGAGGAGCAATATTAATAGCATAACCTAGACTAGATGCATCGTGCACATCCATAGTGATTATAAACAAGCAAGACAAATGCAATCAAAGCTAGATTAGCATAAAAAGATAACTTGGATCTTTAACTCAAGGTGATTAGACCTTAAATCAAAGAGCACCAAGCTCTAATACCAATTGTTAGACCCGAGGGGGGGGGGGGGAGGGGGTGATTAAGGTCTTATGCTAATCTAATACCGATTTTATGCCAATTAAAATTATGTTGATTAATTTGTTCTTGCAAGAGAGATATGAGATAGATATGAATAAGAAGAGAAGTGTAAGAACAAACTAAATGTACGCTAAGCAAGCACAAACACACGATATGTTTACGAGGTTTGGTCTCCATGACCTA